CCTAAAGGAGGGGATCAAAAAAAAGCAAGCCCCGTTATGACAACGCAACCTATAACTTCATAGGCGGGGCGATACGATAGATGCACCAGAAAATGATTCTGACAGTTGTGTGCTCGCTGGACTGACAGCAGCCGCGTCTCTCGGTTCAGGCAGGACCCCAGCCCAGCCCTCTGCCACAAGCAGCCCGCAAGGTGTTCACTTTTAGTCTCAAGTACTTTGTTCACCTCTCAAGTACTTTGACAATTTCCCTCAGAAAGATACATCGCCAGCGACGCGGGCGTTCGACTCACACACATAACATACCTTACCCACCCAGACACCGCACTCCTCATGCCTCTAACTGCCAGGTTCTACATCGACCCCTCCCCCCTCCCCCCCCCCCCTCCAAAGCGCCCGGAAAGTGTGAATTTCCCATTGATCATAGGAAAAGGGCATCCTCGTACCTGAACGGGCGAACCGACTGTCAGGGGCGTTGCAGCCACCAGGAAAGCTTTATGCGCAGCGGGCTGAACTTTTGTAGGTGGGGTTGGGGGCTGCACTCATTGACTTTCATCTGCGTCTCTCTCGAGATATCAGGGCAGGCATTCGGAGGCGCAACGGCGTGACCTTTGTGGGAGGGGGGGCTTTCGGAGCTTGCTTGTCTAAGTGATGTCCAGCTCCGAATCCATGGACGCAGAGGATTTAAAAAGGGAGTGCGTCCCTGCTCACCAACCCGGAGCGGTTCTGGCATCAAAGACAGACAACCTTGGGGCCAAACACTCGACAGCACCTTGACAGCAAAAAGCACTTCTTGGTCCTACCTAGGTATCTTACCTTACCTAGGTACCTTAGGTACCTTACTGTAGGACGCCCGCCCACGTTTCGGACACTTTTGTTCCTGGCCTACCACCTCGTGCTCTCCCGAAGACCCGAACCTGCAGGCAATACCTGCTTGCCGCAGCCTGCAGTCTCGGCGAGAGACATCTTTGAACCGGCGACGTCGAGTCCCATCATTACTACGAGCCCACTCATTCGCCGCCCTACTCCTCTGGGCACACTTTGCTGCTGGTCCCTAATAAGGCCTTAGCATCTGAGTTGGCACCCTAGCCCCGAAGTCAAGTCGTCGATTTTTCTTTCGACCAATCCGTGTCCTAGGTACTTGGTGCACCCGCACGGTAAGCTCCCAATCAGAGGTACCCACTACATTGCACGGCATTACGTCGACAGGGGTCCTGCTGCAACTTCAACTCGTTAGCCCCTCCTCTCTTTCTCATCGCGCAAGCCATCCGGGTTCTCACTGACCTCTCCTCTTGGCAGGCCCTCCGCGCCCACACCCGCGCCCGCGCCCACGCCTACCCACGCAAAGGCAACGGCAGGCGCTCATCAGCCACCTGCCTGTCCACCACACTGCGTTGTCGCTTCCAACGGAGCACACGGCGGTCACGGTGACGGCCCACGGTCGGGGTGTATTATTCTTTCCCTCTGCCCACTGGACTTCTCCTGCCCCTCGGTCCCGTCCCTGATCACCACCTTAGGGTCAGACGGCCACCAATTTCTTCCTTCGTCCGCCCGTTGCGGATCTTCGTCTTGAAACCCGGACCCTTTCCTCTCGACCCCCCATCCGGCATCTGCCCACCAGAGAGCATCTCTTACCACTTGCTTTCTTCAGTATCCATTCTTCTCAGCACTGTCTGAACATCCGTCTCGTCTGTGCCTGCGGAAGATCTTCCCAGGCCACCCCCTCCCCTTGGATATTTCTGATATTTCTACTCCCAAGTGGCCCTCTACCGCCTCTGAGCACCAGCTCGGCACATCTCCGCCATGGACGATTCCTACGGCATTGACATGGAAGACTTTACGGTTTCCGAGCAGTTGAACTTTGAAATGTTCACCGAGCTCGACCCGACTCCCAGCTTTACCCAGGGCTCTGAAAGCCACAACCACTTCTATCATGGCTCTGGCACCTCCCATGATGATACATGCATTGACCCCAATGCCAGCTTCATGTTCTCCTCCCGCTTGGACAATGATGCGCTCATGTCCCAGCCGTCTGCTCCCCCTCCTCGGTCAGCCCCCTCAGCAGCAGCAGCAGCAGCCGCCTCCGCCGCGCCTCGCCCTCGCCAGTCTTCCATGCCCACAGAGACCAGCTCGACCGCCAACAGCGACTTTACCTTTCATGGCTTTCAGTGGACCAATGCAGCGGCTGCGAACTTCAACACTCTACCTGACCCCAACTACGACCTTCTCCCCAATGCGACGGACGAGGCTGCTGCCTCGCCCAAGGACGCGTGTGCTGCAGAGTGCACCAAGCCCGACTGCGAAGATGTCTGCGAGGACCCAGACTGCGAAGTAGACTCCGAGACCTGCGCTGACGACTGCGCTGACGACTGTGCTGACGACTGTGCTGTCGACTGCGCTGTCGACTGCGAAAGCGCCTGCGATGACGAAGAATGCCAAAAGGCCGAGTGCCCTGACGACTGCGACGAGGAAGCCTGCAACCCCATCACGCGTTGCACAGAGGATCATTGTTCAGACAAAGCGGAAGCTGCACCTGATGATGCGTCTGCTGCTGCTGCCAAAATCCTCAAAGATTTGCAAAATCCTCGCGTCGTCTGGCAACAGCGCCGTCAGCCGCAGCAACCACAATATATGCAACTGCAACAGCAACACCTGCAACTGCAACAGATGCAACTGCAGCAGATGCAACAGCAACAGATGCAACAGCAGCAGATGCAACAGCAGCAGATGCAACAGCAGCAGATGCAACAGCAGCAGATGCAACAGCAACAGATGCAACAGCAGCAGATGCAACAGCAACAGATGCAGTCACAACAACAGATGCGACAGCAGTTACAGCCACGACAACAGATGCAACAGCAGTTGCAACCACAACAGCAGGAACAGTACCTTTACACGCCTGGCATGAATTTTGCCTCCCAGCAGACACTTCAGTCCCCAGCTCTCCAATCCTCGCAAATTCCTTCTTCTCGCCCAGAAGGTGGGATGACCTTCTCCCAGATGGACTCAAGTCCCGTCTCTTTCGAGCAGGCCGCGGCACAGGTCGAAATGATGGGCAAGTTTATCGATACTATGCCTCTGAACCCGACCATAGATCCTTTCTTCGAGCATATATACCAGTGTCACGACCCAAATCAACCCCAGTGCGTCGAGCCATGCGTGCTCAGCACCTTTCCCACGCAGTACGCACAATGTCCGTTTCCCCAACGGCCCGAAGACCATCTGAATCAGAATGCGTTCTATCAAGGAGACCACAGCCCGACCACGGAGATTGCCAAATGCGACACCAAGTTCCAAACGACTTCGGAGCTGGTCGCACACTTTAACGAGCAACATCGGCCAGCCCTGGCTGCCACGAACCACACGTTCGCTAGCCCACAATACAACATGCAGCACCCGAGCCCGGCTCCTATGACCCGAACAATCAAGGGCATAACTTTTCGTCGGGGAACAGGCCACCTCAACGGTTCCCCTACCTTGATGCAGCGACCGCTGTCTGCCATGACAGCCTCGTCGACCCTGACAGGCGATAGCGCCCAAATCAGCACTCCAGCAACACCTGAATCAGAAAGCTTCTCTCGCGCGAGCAACCAGTGTCGCTGGGTGGCTCATGGTCAGATCTGCGGATTGACGTTCAGGAATGAAGTAGACCTTCATCAGCATGTCCGCGATCATCACACCTCACCGTTGCGCAAGGAGGTCGGTGGATTTCCCTGCCACTGGCACAAGTGCATCCGTAAATTGAAGGGCAGCGCCGGCAATTTTCATCAAAAGTCTAAGCTCGACCGTCATCTACAGGTCCACACCGGCTGTAAGCACAACTCTCCCGTCCGCATCATGACCACTGTGACCACATGGATTAACTCGTTGTATAGTCAAACCTGTCGAGTGCGAGGTTTGTGGCCTTCATCTTTCTGCCAAGCAGTCGCTAGACCAGCACATGCGTATACACACTGGTGATGAGCCATGGATCTGTACTTGGCCTGGATGTGGTGCATCCTTCAAGCAACAGAGTGCTCTCAGTAAGTCTTGCAGCGTATACGCTTCAATTACAGGATGAAGCTAATCTAGTCTCTACAGCAATGCACACAAGGACACATACAGGCGTTAAGCCCCTTGCCTGCAATATATGCGGAAGAACCTTCAGCGAGTCGTCCAACCTGTCTAAACACAGACGCACTCACAATTTGAAAGGTGACCATGTCTGCGACATATGTGGCAAAGACTTTAGGCGCCTCGATCAGCTGCGCCGACACGTCAAAACTAAGCACAAGAATGACTGTGGGGGCGGTATGGCTAAAGCGAAAGCTGATAGTGACCAGTCAGGGCTTGACCTAACCTTCCAGTCAAGTCCTCAGTTTGATGCCCTCGACGCGATGCTCCAGGGGTTCCCTAAGCTTGAGACTAGTCCTCTCTGATGACTGATGAAGTTGACGACAAGCAGAGATGCGATGTCCCTCATGGTATTGTTTCCGTGTTTTTCTTTGATTTCTTTCAAGTTTCGGGGCAGGAAAACGGTCGGCATTGATCGCGGCGTTACGGCTTGGCTGAGTCGCTTTGGGTGGGTGGGCGGTCTGCCTGTGATTTCTGGTGTTCGATACCCCGTGGAAACGGAGTTCGGGGGCGGGGCGTTGGTTTGGTCATCTTGTCTTTTCCATTCAGTCTTTCCCACTCTGACTGCGATTGCAGTCCGGAGTGTTGTTTTTGGGTTTCTAAGCATCTGTACGGGAAAGGGCGATGCACCTGTGGTAGGCAAACCGCCTTAGACTCGCTCGCCCATTGTTCGGTGACTGCTCACGCGGTCTTGCTTGGTGTTTTTTGGGGCTCTGGTTTCAAAAAGGTTGACGCACCCATGATGAACAGCCTCTTGCAGTCTGGTCATCTGAATTGAATCACCATGAAACATGCTCGTGTTTGCACTCTTTCCTGCGACGGTGCTAGTGACTTGAGCGTCTGTGACCGCGACATGGTCAACAATCCCACCTCTTCACTTGGCCTTTGCAAGCCGGAGGGACGATGTACCGCAATGCTGTATGTTTCCTGTCTGATCTCACATGGCATTATACAATCTTGTCATGATTCGCATCGCAGGATCCGCACGTGCAGTTGTTACATGGGTAAGACTTTACTTGGGCATGCCGTTGCTGACTGCCATCATCTCGCTGATGAGAACCCAGAGCGCCTGACTTTTACGAGAGATAGGGGGGCGCGGGGGGGCAGAAGGGGGACACGGGGGAGGGACCGGATGACAGGACTCATCATCATACTCTAGGGCATCCGAACTTTGGTCGTGGGACATGACAGCAGAGGGGGGGCTCAGTCGGCGCCTTGGGGCTGTTCCGATCACCAAGACTCGCCGCGGACAGCTTCGATCTCCTCCCCCCCTTTTTTTTTCCGCGGGGGCGCTGGCGGTCATGCTCCTCGGAAACTGTGATGTCATGGCTTGCACGGCATGATCGACAAGGGGGCTGTGATTCCTCTGGCGAAGAGCGAATCTACTTTGGGAAGGGATGGGGATCTCATGTCGAATAGGGTTCAGGGGTTCGTCTTCCGGCCGAGCAGAGTTGGGGACAGAGGGCGGGGCGCTGGCAAAGCAAGACGAGACGGGCAGGGTGGCGAAGCTGGGAGAGTGCATCTCCACATGCGTTACACGGTTGGCCTCTGGTCTCGGCCGTTGCCTGGTCGAAAAGTGAGGCTGTCGAATGGGTCGGGAATCGGGATGCAACGTTGGTTTGGCACAAGACGGAGGGGAGAAATAGGCGGACGCGTGTGGTCGGGGGCGGAAGACCGGGTCTTTGCTCGGAGTCGGACTCGTGTCTGGGAGTTTGGGACGCCACCTTTTTTTCTTACCGGTCTCCTTTTGGGTTTGCTTTTGCATCGTTTGTGGCGGCGTCGAAAGTTCTCCTTGGCAGTGAAGGGTGACAGCTCTGTCGTGTAGTGTCGGGTGTTGTTCCCAGCTCGTTTGTGTCTAACCGATCAACTGGTTTCGTGGAATCATCTTGTAGTTTGGGTTGCACGTCGTTCTTAGGGCTTGGGGGATAGGCATGGGCAAGGACTGGGAGTGTAGATGCTTCAGTTCATGGGATCAGGGACGTTACTCTGCCTTGAATTCTGTGCTGGTATCAACCCTCTTGAAAATGAATTTCCCATCTGACATGAACAGAAAACGTCTAGAATTGCCCATAAGTTATGAAGAGGTTTCAACACTAGTCCGGGGTTTTTTTTCTTCTGTGTTTGTGTGATCTTCGGAAGCCTTTGAGAAAGCCAAAGCCTCGTACTGTACCCTTCGTACGGAAACAAGAGCCCCAGAGGGGCTTTCATCGTGAAAGCCGCGGCCCGTCCAAAGTACCGAACAGTGTTCGTTGTCCGGAGCATCGCAGAATTGTTGGGCTAGCAGGCAGGCGAAGTTGCTCGGACTCGGCTGTCCGTGGGGAGGGCGGTGTTCGGGGTCGGTGGTTGAGGCTTTGAAGGTTCAAACTGTAAAGACACCAAATTACTCCAGATGTGTTTCCCCTGGATCTGCACGCCACGCCTCGTCCACCCTGACTTGGCCAAAAAGTTGATCGTTCTGCCTTTTTTCGCGCATTTCGGTATTTGCGTCTGATTCCGAGTGAGGATTGAAACCTGATGAATATGCCAGTATGTATACCTGAACTCACCTCACTTGCGTGTGCTTCGAATAGTGAGCGAAGTTCATCTACCCATACAACTGTAGTCTGGTACGCCCTACCCGTTGGAGAATGGTGAGGCTGACGGAAGGCAAGACTGTATATTTCGTCGGTAAGTGTGGCATACACATTAACCGTTAGACAGTATGGTTCTCTGCCGCTTGCGTCAGGCCACTGCTCGATGCCCGCAGCATAAATTTGAGAGGGGTGGATGTAGCACACAGGAACTGAAGCTGGCTGCTCTGACTTTCATGTGAAACGTGGCTTTTTCGCCTCCTCCAGCTGGAAGTACCGTGCTGTGTGCAATGTCACTCGACCTACCTGCCTGGAGAAGGTACAAGGGCTTGTCATCCAACGTCCTTCACACTCCAACACCCCATGGGCACTATGTGGCGCAGATAGTCCTTCTCCCCAGGATGTCCACAATAGGGAATACGAGACGTTTAGCTCGCATTTCACGCCGGGAGGCACCGGTCATGCTCAACGGTGACCGCCGGAGCGGTTCGAGCCCGGACAAGCTCTTGACCACGGCGTAGAAAGCGTGGAACGAGCGAGTTGCGGCCTCGTCTGAACAACGAGATGAATGAGAAATGAAAAGAGAACCATAGACTATTTTTCATGCTCTTTTTGTCTCTTTCTTTTTTTTCTTCAAAATAAAAAAAAGAGGAAGAAGTCAACTGCAAATGGCTGCAGTGTTCATGGCTGGCCTCGTACATGCCCCTGAACGTCCGACACAGTGTAGAAAAGGGGGAAAGCACCACACGAGCTTATTAGCAGACGATACCTTTCATGGCCGTAAAATGGCTCATACTGAATCTTTCCTGATTCCTGCCCCTCAGCTAAAATCCATTGGGGACGTCCTCTTGTCACATAATGAGAAGGTAGATTCCACGGGGGACGCGTATGGTGCACGATGTCTGGTGACAATGCAGCCACCTTCGGCTTCACGCAAGTAAGGAGCCGACAAGCTAGACGTGTCAGGACCATAGCATCCGCTACTGCAGCTTCGGATCCGGGCCTTCTTTCACGGGCATGACGTGCTCTTCGTCCGGAGTGTGGCTGTCACCAATGTGGACTCTTGCAACAAAGTGTTGACACTGTACTCGTCCGTACTTTCCTCCTGATTGCTTGCTTTCCCACGGTTCTCTTCTTTCTTCTCTTCTTCCTGACGACTCTCTCTACTGCTCTTTTCCTCCCGGACTGATGGGCGTTAAGCTGGCATCCTCGTCCGAGGGTGTTTTGATGCAAAGGCACTGCTGAGGTAGCACATGGAAATGAGCCAGCAAGGGACAATTGGGTTTGCTTTGGCATTGACTCATTTTGGGACAGGAAGTCTGCATATTGGGGAACTAGAGCTCTCACACTCGGGTGATTGATTGGATGGACGCAGGATGCCGCAACTACTGGAGGATGGTCAGAATTGGGTTTACATCCTGTCGAGGCTATGTAGCATGCAGGGAGAGCTCCTTGACGATGGGACCCGCTACCACAAGATCAGAAGGGAAGGACAGGGCATTTCCATAAAGTTTAGATGCATTCTGGTCCGGGAACTGCTCCTGATGGAGCTCAGCCCTTATCGAAAGTGGGCTGAGGAAGACGGTTTGGAGGAGCTAGGTTTTGCAAAAGCCCGCCGATGATGCGGCACTAACATTCAGCGAGGAGACATTCCAAGCCTCACTCATGCCCACCCTACATCAGCAAGACGTTGATACTGGCCCAATCATGAACAGTATCGGTGTCGTGGAGGATGCGGACAGCCGTTTCTGAGATTGGTCCATCTCAGGCAAATGCCCCTCTTGAACCTCCAGAACACTGTTGAATAGCACATACGACCATACCTACTGGAGAATTCGGGATCCCGTCCGCTCTCCCCTAGACAAGCCAGTAAGGGTCGGACTAGTAGTTGGGTGGGTGACCACCAGCGAATCCCTGATGTTGTATGTTTTTGTTGTTCTGTCAGCCTTTTTTGACATCAGTCGCTACAGTGCGCCTGGGTGGGATATAGCGCTGCTTTGAGGCTCTAACGGGGTGCGGCGAAGCTCGACGGCGAAGGGCATGAATGCGGTCGTCAATCTTTTGAACTTTGACTTGGAGGCGAAAGCTGGGCTGATGCGTCTTTCATGGCATCAAAATGTAGTTCCCAAATAATGGGGCACGGGAAACATAGTGTGATCGTCTCAGCCATCTGCCTACGCCCACAATGCGGTTCGCTAGACACTGAATACGCCGAAAGGCACTCCGAAATATGAGAATCGCGATGTTCATTATACTTCACCTCCTAAACTTGCTCTTGTAATGCGCGAAGCGTTGGGAGGGTTGTCGTTGCCGCCCGAAAACAAGGATGGCATGGCGATGCTACCTTACTTCACTGCAGCCCATTAAGAGCCTCTCATATGTAAAATGTGCATTTGGGTGTGGATGAAAGCCCATATGATCGTTGTCGCTCATGGGTCTTGCAATTATCGATGGGCCCTAACATGTAATACCTCTTGATGTACGTACGAACATCTGGGTATTGAAACTTGGTATTCTGGCAATCTTGACTGCTCAGCACACAAATGCACCAGCTCTTACCCCTGGATTCCCTCGACCAAACCAAGTCTCATACCATTCTCCGTAATCCGTGCTCTGGTCACTGACGATGAGCACATCTGCCACCGGGCTTGTCATAGGAGTCACGATTGGACAATCTCTCAAACGAAAGCTTCCATCTTACCACCGCTTGATGTGTGAATAGTTACCGAGGTTTATCTAGCGAACGAATGGGTTACTTTGGCGCTCCCAATACCACGCTTCACGAGCACCGGGATTCGGTCACCCAAGCTGGTGATGCCGCAGTACGCTGAGTCCAGGGATTCCTGCTTATACCGAAGGTTATGTTGATTACCCAAGGGCCCGGCAGGCTCAAATGCACATCAAAGCTACATTGATGCCGATGGTGAATTGTGAGATCGGACCGAGGATATTCGTCTTTCCGGTCATCGAGAGAGTCACCGAGACAGCGACATCATCAGTACCGCCTCCGACGAACAAGTGCAGGCTACCCCTCACAAACGCAATGTGCTCCTTGTGACTGATGAAGTGGGATGGGTATGTCAGCCTGGTGTAGAGGGAAAACCAAGGCATGTTGAGCATGACACGCGTGTTAGGCAGTGCCGTGGACAAAAAATCTTCGGCATATCACTTGGCCCCGGATATTGAATGCTCAACATAACTCATTGTCATATTGCAGCAGGCGATGAGCTGCGCACCGTACCCGAGTGCAACAGACCGTCATGAGGCGAGACAAGACATCCCTGTTCAAACAGCAACGCGCTGCCACGCCAAGACACCATAACCACCGTCACACATGTCGACTGAGGTCGGAAGGGGGCGTTGTGAATTTCAGAGCATCTTATTAGCTCTATGCAATGGGCGGCAGCTGTCCTGCTACCTAATCCGGGCCAGCGAGACCCGAACAAGTTTTTTTTTTGAGTCCTGACCCTCGAGAATCCGTTGCGCGTTGATGGGGAATAAGAAATCATTTATTTCCTCTGAACCGTGCGATGCATCGAGAAATCGGAGTCCCCCTTGCCAAAAACGTACGCCGATCATTGCCGTCCCCAGCCCTTCGTTACCCAGACACAGGCATCACGCTCAAGCAGACTGGCAGCGGTGTTAGCGGGAACGTGGTCTCAACATGGTGCGGATACACAGAGGCAGAGGTTCGCTCGAAACGAAATGTCCCCCCTTCGCCACCCCTGGTGGATGATGCTCACCTTGACGGCGTACTTGCGCTGAGGGAAGTGCTGCGTCTTCTTGCGCTGCTTCTCGGTGACCCTCTCCGCGTCGGCCTTGGACAGCCTGCGGCGGATGGCACGGGTCTGCTTCGCGCGGAGGTCGAGGGGCGCGTACTTCTTGTTCTTGTAGAAAAGGCGGAGCTGGTGGCGTTGCTTGGCGTTGATGACGGTCAGGACGCGAGCGATGGACTTGCGGATGTCGCCACTAGATTCCGAGCCGTGGTCAGCGATGAGTTCCCTCGTGCGGTAAGGCCTCCCTCCATGGGGGGGGGGAGTGTCGTCCCTGGAGAGAGAGAGAGCAAAACTGGAGAAAGAGGGCGGAGCGTACATCTTGTTGAGCTTGGAGCCGGAAGAGGTGATCTTCTGGATGCGAAGCTGGCCGAGCTCAGTCTTGAGCTCGCCGAGCTGCTTCGTCAGGTCCTCCTTGTTCTTTCCCCACAGCTGGGCGGCCTTAACCTTGGATGTCGACTGGTTCATTCTCGTTAGCGAAAAAGGAACCCTCTGAACGATCGCGAAATTATGTGCAATGTGTATGTGTGTATGTGCGTGGTGGTCTTTGGGTATTTTTTTTTTCTCTCGCCCCTTCAAGATTTGGAGACAGGCGCGGGGCGGATCGTGAAATCGAGGATTGCGGGTTCGGCAGGAAAGTCGATCGAGAAGAAGTTCGCGGGTCGGGTGGAATTGTGGAAATCTGTTTCAACAGCAAGGCAACGGACTTACCATCTTGGCCAGAGACACGGATTGATCACTGAAGGACGGGGGTTAGTGGTGAGTCTCGTGATGTCGGGAACTGGTCGTCGTCAAGGCTGGCAAGGCAAGTCTGAAGTCGGAGTCTGGCGAAAAGAGATTTTGCCCTGCCCTAATTGTGCGCTGCGGGTCGGTGCGGTCGGTACGTACTGTCTGAGTGGGCGGTTGTGGTGCCGGGGTTTACGCGGGTTCCACACGCATGCGTCACGTGTCTGAGGCTGGTGACGGCAGATCTCGAAGTCGCCTTAGGTAATCATTGAAGACGCACGGTCCACGTGAATCGTGCACCCTGCCTCGGACCCGGAGGCGGCCAACACCAGAACGTCAATGGTCTGGCTTAGCCTTTGGCCACTTGGAACCCTCACATATACGTATACAGACATCATCATGGCAGCGAACTCTGGAAACACGGGCTGGGCCCAACTACGTCAGCAGGCGCGAAGTCTGGAGAGTCAGGTTTGTCGGACATGCTCCTCTGTGTGCTGGTCCCTGTCCACTGACGCCGATCAGACCGAGACACTATTCCACACCTATTCCCAGTTCTCGACGGTATCCAACATGCCGCCCAAGCCGACAGAAGACGAACGGACGACCGAGGCGAAGCTGCAAGATGTGCTCGAAAAGGTCCGTCGCGCAGCGCATGGCTTCCCAACGGGACGAGCTCACCAAACTAACCTCGATCAATCAACAGCGCGACTCTGTCGTCTCCCAGCTGACCCGCCTCCTCGAGTCGGACCCGACCCTGACCTCGTCGGCCCTGAAGCAGAACAACCTCTCGCTCCTGCGCGACAAGCTCGCCGACCACAAACGCGACCTCGTCCGCCTCCGGGCGACGCTCGCGCAGGCGCGCGACCGCGCCAACCTCCTGACCAACGTGCGCTCCGACATTGACGAGTACAACCGCGCCAAGCAGCAGCAGGACCCCGGCGCCGCCGAGGCCGAGTACATGCTCGCCGAGCGCTCGCGCATCGACAACAGCAACTCGATGGCCGACAGCGTGCTGAGCCAGGCCTACGCCGTGCAGGACAGCTTCAACCTGCAGCGGGAGAGCCTCGCGAGCATCAACCGCAGGATCACGCTCGCCGCGAGCCAGGTGCCCGGGATCAACTCGCTCATTGGGCGGATATCGGCCAAGAAGCGACGGGACGGCATCATCATGGGGGCGTTTATCGCTTTTTGCTTCCTGTGCTTCTGGTTCTTCCTCTGAAGGGGCACGAGAAGGGAGGGAGAGGGGAAGGGTGTTCCCTTTTCTTCCTGGCGCGCGTTGTAGATCTGGTTGTAATGGGCAAGTATGCTGCTGCTTTGGTGCTTTTTGAAGGGGGAAAAGACTATAGCATGTTGGGACCGGGGTCAAGGGTTGGCGAGGGCGTTGGGTGTTTTTGGTTTCAATACACACACACAGAGAGACACACATCCTGGATGTATCATCTTCCTTTTTACTTATTTGACAGTGTTGTACAAGTATGCTAGGTACATTGTGGGAGGAAAAGATGGGAGGGGGTATATGTATCTACCAACCAACAGAAACAGCCGGCCACGGCCAGGCACTGATGAGGCATTGACGAGATCTGGCGCATCTGTACACGTGAAAAGACAGCCTTGCCCCCATCAGATTTGCCCCGCCGCCTCGAGGGCGCGCAGGTCCTGGCGGTCCCGCTCCATCTCGTTGAGGACGGTCCTCGCGCTCTTGACGAGGCTCGCCAGCTCGTCTGGCGTGGCGGCGGCGCTGGCGGCCCAGCGGATGCGGCACAGGTGGTCGACGAGGTAGACGTAGCCGACCTTGCTGTTGAGCAGGCCGATGGACTCGCTGATCTCGGGGGTGACGGGGCGGCGCACGAGAAAGTAGCGACCCCACTCAGAGGCGGCGAGGCGGCGGCGCAGGCCGCCCATGAAGAGGCTGACGAGCCAGGCCTTGAGCGTGTTGTCCTCCATGTTGAGGCGCACGAGCTGCAGGCGGTCGTCGCCGCGGGCGTCGGCGAGCAGGGCGTGGAGGGCGGGGTTGGCGGCGGGGGCGAGGAACGAGTCGGTCTGGTCCTCGGCCCAGCGGCCCTGGACACAGGGCGACGATGGACGTCTTGCCGTGCAGGACGTTGGTCGTGGCGCGGAAGCGGCCGTGCGCGGGGTCGAGGGTGTCGCCGACAAAGTTGGGGAAGAAGAGGGAGACTTCGGCTTTGAAGGGGCGCGGCGGCGCGAGGAAGGACTTGCCGTTGTCGAACTTGAGGTTGCTCCAGTCGCGGAAGTAGGGGCGGGCCATCTGGGCTTTTCTGTGTCTCGTCAGTAGGCTGAACTGAACGGAAGAAGGAGGAGGAAGGAGGAGGAGGAAGGAGGAGGAGGAAGGGGGAGGTCGGCTTGGAGGCGCAGGGTGAGGGAGTGGACGTACAGCTGCCGGCGACGGGCGAGGTGCTTGTCGTAGTTGAC